GTCAGATATGCACCTTATCTGTTGTCATTTTCCACTCTACTGAATTCAATACTTTTGAAGGTTATATTGGGCCTTTCACTAAACTATCTTTTGTTTTAACTAGCTATATGTCAACACTATGTGACCGCAAACGAGCGGGAAAATCTATTGACTTTAAACGTGATTTTATAACTGTTTAAGATAATTTGGATTATTCATTTGTACACCTAATATATGTATTCACAGTAGTTTCTAATATTACTCGGTTACAACTAGAGTTCTACGATAAGGCTAACGTGACGTGAAAGGATCGTATTCGAATTCGTACTGAGTATGAGCGTGAGTCTATGTTTTGGTATCTATATGTATATACAGGGTGTTCGGCCACCTCTAGCAAAAATTTTAATGAGCGATAGTAGAGGCCAAAATAAGACGAAAATCAAGAATACTAATTTGTTGATGGAAGCTTCGTTAAAAAGTTATTAACAATTAAATTCAAAAATTTCAAATCGTTCTGGAAAAATTATTTTCGGTTGCGGGGGTCAACTACAATCATTTTTGGTGAGTACACATACCTCCGAAATCCTATCTACTTTTGAGAAAAAAAATCGAGTAGGTGCTGAAATTTTTCGGCGAAAAAAAATTTTTCAAATCGTTCTAAAAAAATTATTTTCGGTTGCGGGGATCAATTACAATCATTTTTTATCATTACACATACCTCCGAAATTGTACGCACTTTCGAGAAAAAAATTCCTTACTGAAAATCCAATTAGGTGCCTAAATTTTTCAACGGAGAAAAAAAATTGCAAATCGTTGTGGAAAAATTATTTTCGGTTGCGGGGGTCAATTACAATCATTTTTTGTCATTAGACATACCCACGAAATCCTGCCCACTTTCGAGAAAAAAAATAGAGAAGGTGTGAAATATTCGAGAAAATTAAAAACTGGCAAATCGTTGTGGAAAAATTATTTTCGGTTGTAGGGTTCAATTACAGTCATTTTTGGTGAATAGACATACCCCCGAAATCTTGCGCATTTTCGAGAAAAAAATTCAGTAAGGGCGGCACTTTAAACGTTAATAACTTTTTAACGAAGCTTCCATCAACAAATTGGTATTCTTGATTTTCGTCTTATTTTGGCCTCTACTATCGCTCATTAAAATTTTTGCTAGAGGTGACCGAACACCCTGTATGTATAATATAGTAAATTGATGGGAAAGGGTGATGGGAGGTGATGGAAGATGGTAAACAGGGGACTGGCCCCCTCCAACATTGTGTAGTGCTCATATGATATGAAATTTGGAACGAGGTTCTATGCACTTGGAACAATTCTGGAGGATATGACGTATAGGTCAATACATTTATTTTCTATTGAACAGGACAACAATTTTTTTACTTGTCATAGAAGTACAACTTTCTTTTTCATTTGTATTTTATATTTTATTGATTGCAATATTTGTCAAATTCTACTTTATTCTTATTTTATTAAAGATTTATTGGTTTTTAAAAATTATAGAGTCCCTTTAAAATCAAGACGAAATCAGATTGAAATTATTCAAAACATGAAATGAATTTTTCATTTACGCTTCATACATAGAAAATTATTATTTTTTATTATTTCGATTTAAAATTTATTGGAATTAAACTAATGATTTAAGTAACAATTTTGTGCGTTTATTTTGTTATTTCTTTATTACTTAATAAAGGTTTACGTCTTTTATAAACAGGAATATTGTTCTAGAATACAATTTTCTGAAGTATAGTGTATAAAAGGCAAACAAAATTTTTTTAGTATTTGATGGGCTACATGTTCCCATATTTTTTGAGATTTAATAATATGGGAACATGTAGCCCATCACATACTAAAAAAATTATATCGTATGAACTAACATTCTTCATAATAATAACTATTTAAACTATGTTTATTGCATAAGTAAATTAGAAATTGATTGCAAGAAACATTTTTTTGTGTTGAGAGCCGATATATTCGACAATTTTGCATTTTTTAAGGAGGATTTTAGTTCATACCACGCGTAGTACTAACATGAACAAAATGTTGTTCGATTTTTTATTCTAGATCAAAGGAAGAAAATGCTAGACTGTACGCCGATCAACGCCATCGATATAAGAAATAACATTTATTATTTCATCCAAAGTTGATAAAACGTAACGAAGACAAAATATTTGTATCTTGAAATGTTAAAGAATATATGTGGAAAGTGGCGAAAAGTTTAATCAAACCTTTATGCTATAAAAAAATTGTCTACTATCGCTTCTCGTTTTACCATTTTATATGAGTTTTCCCCCTTAATCAGTTGCCATTCAATGCCATATTTATTGATACAAGTATAAAGTAAAGTAATAAAATTTCTCCCTTTCCCTTATTCTCCTTTGTACACATTTATATTTCAGTGATTTCGAAATCATTACAAAAAACATGACGTCATTTTGATTATGAAACCACTAAAATCATTTTTGAAATCATATAAAAGCATCTAATACTATTTATGTGACCGCTTATAACCCTTAAAATTCACTCAAATTCATCGTATGCCCACATTTATTTAATTAAAATCTATTTGAACAGAAGCTGAGAATTTCTATCTGAATATTATAAAATAATAGAGATACAAATTCTTAACAACTAAACACAATTTTCCCCCATATAGATTATCCAGAAATTATGGCAGAATAAAATTAGTTTTATTTTACCCGTCAAGCTTTTTTCATCATATTCATTTTGTCGTGTATTTTTCTGACAACCCACGTATACAATAACGAATGCTTGTATAGCACAGTACCTAGCACATAATTGAAACTTTAATTGCCCGGATGTTTGGTGATCGATTGGCGGTACAAAGTTCCCCATACTATGTATTATACATTCGAACGGAGCAAAGACTTTCACGAGAAGATCCTTTCGTGAATGCAAATGCAAGCTTCTTGCTAACCAGACTAGGTTTACAAGTCTCAAGGAAAACTGGCTGGAATGCAACTAACACATTTACATCGCGGCGCCCGGAAACTTGGAACCAGTCTGACCTCAACTTGACCGAAACTCTCGTGGGCTACATCGAAGTAGCTTCGACTTGAATCCTAGAAGGATTAAGTCAGCGCCAGACGATGTCAATAGGTTCTGTTATTTAAATGTTATCCCGCGGGTGTTCCGTGCTTCTAATATTTGTCCTGTAGTAATACTCGTAAAGAAGTACACGTATAACTAACGAGAAAATAATTAATATGTTTGCGGATAGTATAAATTTTAGTGAGTTGCAAAACTGGACAAGTGGTTTACATCAAGTATTGCAATCTACTTAATTTACACAATGCGCTAACTAAAAGATATTTGTAATACATGTTGCAGCGTAACAGTAAATTCATAAAGCCAGCGGATATAGAGTCACACCTTTCATAAACAATCAAGGCTTTGCTTATAACCTACTGCCCCTAAGGCGGCTATTTAATTAGTAAATTCACTTAAAATCTGCATGGCCCTCCAAATTCAGTCGCTCTACCGACTCTATGACTTTACTACCTTCAATAACATCGACGACCGGTGCCAGATGTTTTACGACCAGACTCAGGTACCTCGCGAAACATCTGGGCACCAAGCGGTGGCCCGAGTCCGTAGACTTCTCGCGGAAAAACTCGGGCCCGCAAAAATTATTAAAAATCACCGTCACATGCCGCCTCCCACCGACCAACTTCGCCGCCAAAATGATTGGCCGGCGTATTTATAATTCAAAACCAATCAGCGACTAATACTTCCTCCCATGGTCTTGGGTACGTCCATGGCGAGGTTAGCTCTTTGGGCGACCTTGGCCCAGAGAGCAGATTGAGTCCAAAAATCAAACAAGCAACACCGAGAATAACACCGAACACAAACCAGCACGCCGAAGACTTTATCTGGCGGATATCTTATATTGGAGCCTCCAAGCGTATCCCCCTAAACAGTCGCACAAAATTAAGTTGGCGTGCGACATTGTGCTACTGCGCAATACAATACACAAAAACAAAATAAAATGAAAATACTCAATGAGCCAGTCAACCATTACATTAAAGTGCATAATTTCAAAAAATAAAAACTATACAGAGTGTTCGGCCACCCCTGGGACAAAATTTGAATGGGAGATTCTAGAGGCCAAAATGAGGCGAAAATCAAGGATACTAATTTATTGATTGAGGCTTCCTTAAAAAGTTATAGAAACATTTCCGGCCACACAGTATATTTTCGGTAAAGAATTTTTTTTTTCGAAAGTGCGTAAGATTTCGGCGGTGTGTCTATTTATAAAAAATAATTGTAATTGACCCCCGCAACTAAAAATAATATTTCCAGAACGAATTGAAATTTTTTAATTTTGTCGAAAAATTTGTCCACCTTCCTGAATTTAAACAAAAAGTTTACGTAATCGACGCTGCGGACGCAAATATGTGGCTGTTAAACGTCGCTGTTCAGGAACGCTATTTGATGGCCCCTGAGAAGGGCCCTCCTAAGGAATCTTGTTCAATGACATATAATATCATTCAGTTTTGATTATTCTTGTTGGGTTAAGGTAATGAAACTGAATGATTTAAACACACAATGAAAACTTATTAAACTTGACAAAAGGCATTAGCACAAAAAAAATTCTCCATTCTTTTTTGGGGCATGCTCAGCGTCATCTCCTGAGTACGCAGGGGATAACACGCGCTCGATCCAAAAGCTGGAAATCGCGATTGAAATTCCAACGGCCCCTCTCAATCGCGAGATTACTGCTCCTTGTCCTTCTGTTCGATTCCTATAAGGAACGTAGGTTTCTTGTGGCTTGGCCCACTCAGGCTCTTCGTTAGGATATCAGCTGGCATCTCACCTGTTGGTAGGTATTGGATGTCAATCTTTCCACTTTGGTATGCTTCTCTTACATAATGATGTCTTATGTCAATGTGTTTTGTTCGCGTATGGAAAAGCGGAGTTTTCGTTAGTTTCTATGCTCCTTGATTGTCACAGTATACAATAATTGGCTCTTTTTTCTTGTTACCAACTCATAATTCCGTGAAAAAATTGTTTAAATATGTGGCTTCTTTGGCAGCTTCGGTTAATGCCATGTACTCAGCCTCCATACTGGACAAAGCAACACTCTTTTGCTTTTTTGATTCCCGGACGATTGCTGTTCCTGCTAATTTAAAAACGGATCCCGTGTAAGATGTTCTATCGTCAACATCATTTGCCCAATCGAAATCAACAACTCCAGCTAAATCTTTTGTATTTCTTTTAAATACCAATTGGTATTTACTTGTTCCCTTTAAATACCGAAGTACTCTGTTTGCTGCATGGGGTTTTCCATAACTCTCATTAAATCTACTTAAGACACTAACAGCGTAAGCTATATCCGGTCTTATGGCAATCGCTAGATACATCAGTGCACCCACCAACGATCTATAAGGTAATGTTTGTATTTGAGTTACTTCATCCTTTAACTTGGGCAACGCTTCTTTACATAATTTCTGTTTTGTTTCAAGAGGTGTGAAACAGGATCAGCGTTCTTCATGCCGAAACGTGCTAATACGTCTTCCGTGTATTTTTGCTGCGACATTCTTACTTCGCCGGATTTTTGTTTTTGGGTACATTCAATTCCCAAATCTTTAACTTTGAATTTTGTTTCCAGTACTGATTTTATTTCATCATATACACTTTTACGACTTTTGCGACGATCAAGGCATTCACGTAAATTGCTACCAGCATAATGTCTTCTTTCTCTCGACAAAAGTATACACACTTATTTGCGTTGCATGGTTGCAGACTTAGTTTTCTCAATTGTGTATCGAATTTTTCGTACCATTGTCGGTCCGATTGTTTTAAGTCGTACAACGACCTTTGTAATTTACATACCAAGCCTTCTTGTCCAGGCTTTACCATATGAAACTTTCAGGTTGCTCCATAAATACAGTTTCATTTAAATCTCCATTTATGTACGCTATGACAATATCTAATTGGTACAGGGCTAAATTGAGTTGTGCAGCGATAGCAACAACTGCACGAATTGGACTTAATCTTACAACCGGTAGGTTCGGTGGTTTTCTGGGCGTTCGACCAACATCCATCCACGCTTTATTTTCTGCAAGCGCGTTGAATTGAGCTTCCATCGCTTTTCTCCACACTAATGCGTACGGTTCTGCCATAGCTTCTTCAACCGTAGGCATCGAATTTTCTTGAACTAACAACTGAGCATCATGAATCACTTGCTGAGCAGGAGACACATCTTTGGTCTGTGTCTTTGCCCTGTTCGAATTATACGTGGTCGACCTCTGCCCCCGGCGCGGCTGACCATCATGATTCTCATTACCTTGAAATTCTATATCACCTTCTTCAGACATAACTGATTCCACCTTGTTTTGGTTTTCGCGGAAACAAAAATCAAAGAACTCTGTTTCTTTTTCTTTTGTTTCAAATATGTAGTTGTCGTCGACGAATTTGCTTATTTAGAACGTAACCCGTGCGTCCAAAAGGAATCATGTGACGAACACATGGTTTTCGTCCCACCCACAATTCAAATGGAGTTGCATTGTCCAAACTTTTTGAGGGACATCAATTTCTGATATACTCAGCAGTCACCACCGCTTCAGCCCAGAATTTGGATCGTAATTTTGAATCAGCTAGCATATATCTAACCATTTATAACAGGGTCCTATTTATCCTCTAAGCCACACCGGCTTTTTGTGGTGAATAAGCTGCAGTTTGTTCCCTTTTGATGCCACACTTTTCCAGGTACTTCGCAAATTCTTTTCTACAATATTCCAAACCGTTATCTAGGTAGCCAGTTTGACTATTTGGTTGCTTGTATGTTTTAAATTTGTAAAATTGCAGGTATCATTGCATAGGTCTGTGTGCTCCAACATCCTCCGTATTCGCCGGACTTATCTCCATGTGATTATTTCCTATTCCCAAAATTCAAACTGGCCATGAAAGAAACGTTTTATGATAGTGTTACACAAGTCCAAGGCGCGGTGACAAGAGTCATTGAGGCGATTCGACAAAATGATATAAAAAAAATCTATGCTGGCACTGGTCGAACGTGCCCAGCGGTGTATTGATGCAGAAGGGATGTATTTTGAATAAAAAAAAATAATTTTGGCAAAATAGCTAATTTTCTCTTTTAATTTAAAAAGTTCCGATATTTTTCCGACATAGTGTGTACTAATTGCATTTCTATCTGTAATGAACCACGACGTATGAATATCGCTAAGCAAAGAAGTGGAAATTAAATATTTATGAACGATTGTGATGGAGGAAAGTGAGCGGTTTGAAAAATGTTTGAAAAACCGCGCTGTTGGCAACGTCGAGGATCAACAATTTATTGAAATACCACGATTGCTGTGGAATTCGTCTAATTTATTTACAGATAAATAAATTTATTTACGGTACCGCAAATAGTTAACAAAACTGTTCATGAAACACACATGCAAATGTTTAAATATTCACGTGCGAACGGTGCTGGTGGATACACGCGCGGCTTGTTCGGGCGTATCCTGCGCGTGCACGTAGAACAGGCAGGGCCAAGCCCCCTCATTTCCCTGCTATTGTTCGTCTCGAATTTTTTCAACGTATTCGTTTATTAGCGGCGACGCGTATCGCGAAATGAATGGCCGCAATTTTCGAGCGCAAAATCGAAATTCGCGCGCGGCCTGGAAATTCATCACGGCGGACTGGAAATAAAGCCCGGTGGCCGACGTATTGCTGAAAATTCGTGCAAAAAATCGCGAGATCCCGCGGGACGAACGCTCGGTGTTAAATACTCGCCGCGTTTCTTCCTTTTACCTCCTCCCTGTTCGGATGGCTTTTATAATCACGTAACAAATTGATCCGTGTAAACAATATCTCCTCGTACGCGCGTCTCGATCAACGTCCATTGAAATCCGTGATTTCGTTACGACACATTGAACGCTCGAACCCTCCTGATCGTTGCTATAGGACGCGTAATTGATTGCCGAGCAAACCAGCCACTGTAATAAAAGATTTCGTGCGTCAGTTAACCCTTAGGTTGTGTTCATCGAAACTTAAACAGTAATGATTCTTAAAATGAGCCCCAGACGTGATTCCTAAATTGAACATATCTATCCCTCCCAGCTCGGGGGATCCCCCCTTAAAGGCCAGTGAACCGTGAAACACAATGCTTTGTGAACAATATCGGTGCGCTCAGCTTCTTCGTCAATTCTCGCTAACTAACATTTACAGACCACAGCTTATTATCTCTAGAAACATATTCTTAAAAATATGCTATTTACCATGTTAAATTATTTAATAATAAATTAAAATGAATAATTACAGTAAAGGTACAATTAAAGATATTTTAATAATCGAGGGGAATCTAGGTTCAAAAATGAATCTTTTAATAAAATTTTCAAGTCGCCCTTAATTTGAAAATAATATTTCAGTGATCCACAACAAGTATTATTTTTAATATTATATTGCATTCAAATAAATTCAATATTTCTTTATTAGAGTGTGTAGAATTATACATTCAGTTCTGTAATACCAAATTTACCCAATTACATTTTTCTTTCTTAATTCTATTTTATTTCATTGTATTTTACAGGTTTTCTCAACACTTTATTTCGGCTTTTTGGTTATGTTTTCGCTTCTGGTACCTGTCGCTGTCCGTACTGTTACCCTTAGGTCTCCTTCCCTAATATTACACGCTTTTCTGGTTGACTTTTCCCCTTGCACTTGCTTTTCCTGTCTTCTCCTTTCTCATATTAATATAGCTCAGTAAGGCACCACCTATTTCTAACCTCCACAATGTTCTGACCATATAAAAATATAAAACTATGGGTAACTCAACATTTTCTCGTGGCTCTCGTGCTTCTAGTTTCTTTCAGGGGGTCTACGCTTCTTTCCTACTCTCTTTCCCTGGTGGTTATGTTCCTCCAGGGACACTTTTCTTTCCTACCTTCTTTCTTTCTTTTGATTTTTCGTCCCTTCTCTTCTTTCAATTATTCTCCTTCTTCACGTTCACTTTTTTCTCGAATGCTCGCCTTTTCCCCGTTTTTTTTTTATCCCCCTTTTTTGTAAAAATCTCTGCCTTATAATGTGCGTCCACCCCCTAAGAAGGTTCCACCGAAAGTTATATTCAAATAACGAATATACATATCTGAAGGTAATTTTTTGTTAATTCAAACGATTTTTGGTTTAACGTTGGAATTAAATGCTCTTATCCCAGGTAGAAAGAAAGATTAGTTTTGAGAAGATATTGCACGTCGGCTTATGTCAAATGTTTTCGGTCAGTCTTTATAGGATGTGCAATGAAGTAACAATATAAGATCGCTACACGCGAACAATGATGTGAACTGAAGAATTATAGAGATTAGGTATTTTAGGACTGCGTTTTTCTTTTGTTTTCGCTGCCATGATGCCCATTCGTCGCGCACCATCGTGTTGTTCATTCTGAGTATAGACATTGAAGTGCCATGTGATGTATCAATTTGTTATCTATATTAATTATACATTCTGTATTAAATGTTTTTTCGACTCATTCAAGTAAACATGAGTTTTGTACTGAATAACCACAACATGGACCTTTCAAGAATAGTGTTTACATTGTTTCTATCACGAGAAACGTATTCATGGAACTCAACTTACCTTCCGAGGCGGCTATAAGTCATTTCTATAGAAGATTAAATATCATTAAATATTACATAAAAAAATAGCACACGATAAAATATCACAGGCAAAGATATTTCAATTGAAACGAAATTTAATTTAAAATCAGAAATAGATAAGATTTGAGTCAGTGTATAGTCAGCCTCGTTCACGCTTAATTTTGTTTAAAAGAGATCAATAAACAATTCTAGATATATTTTCAAAATAAGATATCTCACTATTGATTTATTGGCGGATACAAGTGATGGATACAAGACGAAAATAGTAAATGATAAAGCAAATTAAGTCGAAGGTGGAGGCAAATATTAGATCAAAATAAATCAATATCTTCCGAATGCTGCATCATGCTATTGTAAAAATTGTATGGTATCGATACCCTATACGTTGAAGTCACAATACCACATCGTGGTTTTCTGATAAATTACTCCTGAGATATAAAGTTAAACAGAGGCTAACATATGCGCATATATACATACAAAATTTTATAACTAGTCTTTTTGTACTTTTGGAGACGGAGCACTCTAAAACATCGCGAAATGTAAAAAAGCCGGAGTGATGCTTTAAACGATAGCAATACTTCCTCTTTGTAACATTCTGTGTCTGCCGGGAAAGTAAAATAATTGTCACGAAAAACCGTGTTCCGTCTATTCGCGTTTTCACTGAGTTTCGTTTTTCACGGAGTGGAAATTCGCCAGTCAGAAAGTGATTTCTTTGGATACAGAGAATTTTTCTAGGTTCAAAAAGACGCATTTCGTTGCTGATTTTACGAGAACTCGTCTTACGTCGAAGCAACGAAGCTTGTAGCTTTTTTCCTACATGAACCTTTTTTCTTTAAAAATTCGTTACTGGGATTCCTGTGAAAGCTGTGAGCCACGAGGGGCCCGACTTCGGTGATTCCAGGGCCTGTAAATATACATTCTCGTTACAACCGTATCT